AATTAGTTAAGGTCTCATTTTGATGTTTAGCTCGAAGCCTTTAAAAACTTTAAGCCTCTACTGGTGGCGATGGTCAGTGATGGAGCATATTAGTAAGGGTGTGCACGGTACAGTTTGGACAGTTTGAGAGAAAAATTATAAATTGAATGATAGATTAGCGGATTAGCAAATTGCGGTTTGAGTAGTTTTAGGCAGATTGACAGATTGAAGAATATTCTAACCAATTTTCAAGCCTTTGCATAATATATAATACTAATTTGCATCATATTTTTCATATTTATAACACAAACTAATTGTACATAATATTTTTCATATGTATAACTTCTAGTTTGTAATAAATTTCATATCTTAAATATCTGTCACACTCATTTTTACTTAGATATTTTATTATAGGTTAAATATAAATATATATGTATTAACTATAGCAAAATAGAGCGGTTTCGAAGGCGGGCTATAAATTTTAAAGTTTAAATCGTGGTTAGAGGATAGAGTGGTGCAAATTGATGCGGATTAGAGCTGTTTTAGAGGATTTGACAGTATTTTGCACAGTCCTAAATATTATGAAGAGGTAAGGGGACAACAAGAGAGACAATGTGAAGGAGATAGGGAAAAAGAGGAGAGAGAAGCAAGAAGGAGAAGAGTGTAGCAAAATGGGTCCCATTTTGGGTGGAGCTCAAATTGGCATTCAGATCCACTATAGTGATCTGGTGAAGTGATCCTTTAGGGCACAACACTAGTCCCATTAATGTAACCAAGGATTGAGATCACTCCCTCGTTTTGGTGAGGGAAAAAAAAATTAAATTTCTTCGTTTTGCAATTCAAGAGAGAGAGAGAGAGAAGGAGAGAGGGGTTAACAAAGAACCTCATAGGGTTACATGTCATCGCGTCGCCCACTGCCCCACCATGTTTGTTTAGTGATTAAATGTTTGATAGTGCCATATTCGTTCGGTGATTTTTACCTTCGTGTTTTGTGGTGCTAGTCAATATTTGAGGCATTGGTTCCATTAGTAGGACAGGTGTCACGCCCTAATGGATCACTTTAGAGGATCACTTCACCAGATCACTCTAAAGGATTCGAACGCCTCAAATTGACTAACATGCCTCTTTTCAAATTGACTAACGTGTCTCCATTTATGCCATGCCCTTTTACTTGTACAGAGACATGTATAAGTATATTTCCTCCCACTTTTTTTCTTATGTTCGATTTGACAAAAAGTATTTTATGTAGGATATATGTCATGCGTATTATTCAACTCATTATTTGTGATGTTATAAATGTAGGTTTAGAAAGATATTGAGTGTTCAGTCACAATAAACTTTTATATCGCTTTTTATCACAAGACAAATGGAATGGTATACCATTTTAATTTAGTCGCATGACATACTGGTTCATAGTCACACGGCATAAAAATATTTTATTATACAAAATTTACACATTTGACACAAATTTAAATTTTAATCTAATAATATATTTTTTATATTATATGGAGGTTAACATGACATTTTTTGTCTAATTTTAAACAAAAATTAATGATGAATGGTTAAAAGTGTGTAACTATTTTAGTTTTTTAATCATTAATACATTTTTATTAAGTTTCTAATTTTATTTTTAATAATTTAATTTTTTGTTATGCCAAATAACTTGCAATTAAAATAAATATTGTGGTTAATTTACAATTATGATAAAAAGAATTGAAAAAGAAAAGAAAGCTAATTGGATAGATGATGATGCATGGGACAGAAGCTAATTGGATGGATGATGGGATGGATAATTTATGGAACAGCCTTTACCGCCTCAAAATTTCGGCGCCTCATCCTTACCTCTCAGTGCAGCAATCTCACTCAATTTGTATTTTTGGAATCCTATAAGACTTCATTTCGCAAGGTGATTATGATTAATTTAACTCATTAAAAATAAAATAGATTTAAAAATTAATAAAATAAAATAGATTTAAAAATTAATAAAATAAAATATCACATTTGAATTATAATTATTTTATTTTTTTATAAAATTATTAAAAAATAAAAAATTCATCACAAATAGAACTTTTTAATTTAATTAAAATAATCAAAATATCAAAAAATCAAGTTAAAAAAAGTTCTTCTCAAATAAAACCTAAATAGATTGACAGGACAGGTACAAAACCAGAATTTTATTATCGTAGGGCCAAAAGAAAAATAATTGTTTTTTATGTACACAAACACACATATATGTACAATATGATGTATAAATTATATGTATACATAGAAAAAAATTAAAAATCGTAAAAGCAATCTCTAATAGGATGAAAAAAAAAATTTGATACAAAATACAAAGAGAATGCAAGATGAAAGAAGAATAAGATATGTATTTTTTAGTCTGGGAGTCATTTATGTATAAAATGCTATATATATTTTTAAAGTATTATGACAAACAGTATTTTTTATAGAAACAAAGAGGCCATGAACCCTTATAATTTTCTCCTAATTTCGTTCTTGGATAGAGAGATGAGGAAAAACATTCAAAAATTATTTCTCAATACATATTACTTATGGGTTGTAAGGGGATGATCTAAATAAGTGCATTTATTTATATCACATCATCTCTCTATTTTTCTGTACATCTCTTTATAAAAAATCAAAAAGTACACTACATAAATAAACCCCAAACAAGGGGTTAATCATGATTTTCAATGTCAGATTATTTTGATTTATTGGTTTTACATTTGAAAAAAAAAAATTATGTTCTGTGTAATCTCTTGTTTAGTCATAGATTTCGAGTGCAACAGAAGTTTGATATTTTCTAGAAATCAAATAACTAGATTTTTTTAGTATAATCAATTAGTCGAAATAATCAATGTTTTAGAATTAACTTTTATATAAAATAATCATTTTTATCTTTCAATTGAGAATACCCTTGTACAATTACGTTAAACAAATTGAATATCAAACATTTTAAAGAAAACATTGGTAGACGATTCTTAATGCCTTAGCACCTTTTTTATTTATTTATTATTATTAAATCATTAATTTTTCTCAAATTATCCAATCATTTCAAAAGATTCCAAATCAAATTTTATTTTATTTTATTTTATTTGAGTTTTCGGTCATTTTTTTTGAACAAACTGGTCCATGTAGATTCGATCTCGAACTCACCGAGATATATTACTTGACGATATCATGTATTTGGGATTGCAATATAAAAGTTGCAGCAATAAACTTTATGAGTAAATTGAATCAAAAAAAAAAAAAAAGAACTCCAAGACTCAAAGTAAAAAAATAGCCAAAACATAAAAGCGGCAAAATTTACGTTGCTCTTCAAAATATACATATTCACATATTTAGTTGACTAAAAAGATAACGAAAAAAACATTACAAATGAAATCATTATTTATTATTATAAAAAAATAATTATTTCATAAAGGAATCTAAAAAATAATTATTTAATTTGATTCTGTTCTATTATTCACATAAACCAAATAGAGCAAAAGTTCTTATCTTGTCACTAAATTTATCGGATGATACTAGGATATACTAATTTAATGTCGGGTTCCTTGTGTATTACATTCTTCGGGTTTATTGCAAAGAGGAAAACATCATTTCAACTAGCTTGGTGGAATTTATATGAATTGTTTTTAGTTTTTTTATTATTATTATTTTGAAAGTATGCATTATCTTATTTAAATTGTAAAAGATAATTATGTGCAAGTTGAAAGGCGAGTGATTTCACTACAACAAAAGACAGTTTTGGCGACTAAATTTTTTGTTGTCAAAAGTTAATATTTGGTCGTCAAAACCTTTTGCTGATTAATTTTTTTGATCGCCAGCTTTGTCGTTGAAAGATTGTCGGGTAAAGTAATTCGCGACCAAAAAAGATTTAGTCGCTAAAAGCACACAATTGGCAACTAATAGTTTAGTCGCCAAAAGATTTCAATTAAATTTAACATGATATTTTCAACGACTAATATTTTGTGTCGCCAAAACCTAAATTGTTTAGCTACTAAAATTTTAGTTGCCTGAGATATAACATTTTCTATTTTGGCTACTAATAGTTTAGTCACCAAAATCTTTTTTCAGTGACTAATATTTTTTGTTGCCAAAACTTATATGGTTTAGCTACTAAAATTTTCGTTGCCTAAGGTCTAATATTTTTTGTTTTGGCTACTAATAGTTTGGTCATCAAAAGTGTTTTTTCCTTCTTTTTTTTTTTGCTGCTAAATTATTAGTCGCCTAAAGTCTTATTTATTATGACTACTAAATATTTAGTTACCAAACGATTTGCTTTTATTTAATTCTTTTTTTAGCTACTAACTATTTAGTCGCTAAAAATATTGACTCTATTTTTGGCTACCAATGGTTTACTCACCATAAACATCATTTTATGTTTTTTTTTTAAATTAATTTGTCACCCACAACCTGTACAAGATATAAAAACTAAACAATACATATATTATCACCCATTCAACAATCTGCATCCATTTCACTTCCAACCATCTAAAAATTAGTGACTTTAAATGTCAAATTCTATACAAATCAAATATATTCCAATTTAAAATAATAATTCCATACAAAACAAATAATCATAGGGAAATTTTGTCCTCCGTATACAAAAATATATTTACTACAATGCCAAATGGCCATTTGGCATGGTACAAAATACCATGGTAATCTGTACCACGACAAAAGGTAATCAATATATCACGACAATAATTATCTGTTCGATGGCAAAAGTATTATGTATCCCGCCAAAAGTATTCTATACAATTAATACAAATCTACACAAAAAGCAGAGGATTCACCATAAACATCATTTTATGTTTTTTTTTTTTAATTAATTTGTCTGCACCCACAATCTGTATATATTCCATGCAACCTGTACAAGATATAGAAACTAAACAATACATATATTATCACCCATTCAACAATCTACATCCATTTCACTTCCAACCATCTAAAAATTAGTGACTTTAAAAGTCAAATTCTATACAAATCAAATATATTCCAATTTAAAATAATAATTCCATACAAAACAAATAATCATAGGGCAATTTTGTCCTCCGTATACAAAAATATATTTACTACAATGCCAAATGGCCATTTGGCATGGTACAAAATACCATGGTAATCTGTACCACGACAAAAGGTAATCAATATATCACGACAATAATTATCTGTTCGATGGCAAAAGTATTATGTATCCCGCCAAAAGTATTCTATACAATTAATACAAATCTACACAAAAAGCAGAGGATGACAAACAAACAAGAGTATACAAAAGTGTAAATTGTCCTCCGTATACAAAAATGGAAGATCCACAACTCTATGCTCGGTGCCAAAAACTATCTACAAATAAATAAAATAAAATACACCCATTAGTTCCATATAGCATTTGAGGATAATGTCACACCCCTTGTCCATTCATAGAACTTTATCCTAGCATTCCTAATGTAATATTGGTTTAACAATTTATTGCCTCATTACTTTTCCTCCAGCAAGGCTAGAGTAGCTTCTGTTTTCTTCCATTTCCTTCTCTCCTTTATTTCTTATTCTTGTTTTTTCATGGTTAGATTCAGAAATGCTAAAGTATGCTTATGCGGAGCTGGAGGAATCTCGTGGAGCAAGTCAAGTTAAGCATGTGTGATATATGCTTTCCTTTTCTTAGCCAGATTTCTTGGGTGTTTGATTTTTCAATCGGGTTTAATTTTCATGCATCCTACAAACACAATTCTATGAAAGCCTTTTAGGGGACAGCATTATCACATATACAAGTATGGACTTTCAATTTTTTACTAGACATTGTTTTCATTACATGTACTATAATTAATGTATTTAAAAAAAATAAATAAAAATAAATAATAAAAAAAACCTGAGATGTCTATCTTGTATACTCAAATGTGGATGGGTCAAAAATAGTAAATAACCTTTTTAATGACATGATGATCATTTATTTGCTTAATCATGCAAAGTGGTTAAAACCAAAGCAAGAGCCATTTTGTGCACAAGTAAATATTTGTGTATTATGAAATTTGTAACTTTGTTAGGACATGTCAAGGTAATTGTAGTTTGTTTTTCTTTTCTTGGTCAAGCTGTGCAAATGCAAATGTGTCTCATAGATCTCATAAAATTTTGGTTCTCTAACATTGGCATTCTTTAAATCTCTACCTCATTTGCCTTTTTAACTTTGTATGGCTTTGTTTGATTGCTGGAAAACCTGGGCAATTCACAAGGGATTGTAGAACAACTTCAAAATTGAAAAAAAATAAATAAATTCTCTGATTTTCATTTTCGAATCCTTTTGTTTTATATATATTTATATATTCAAGAATTTCCATTTTTTGTTTACAATTCCTCATTTATTTTAACAACATAGGGAGGGTAATGGATCATGATATATTGTGGTTCCAAAAGGACTTTGTTTTCTCTCATTTTTTACTCCAACTCCCAACCTACATGTGCTACTTACATGTCGTCTGTCCCCACTGGTCCTATTTGTCACGAGAAAGCTACATATGACATTCGTAGAGTAGTTCGGGGGCTATTTTACATTTTTGCCCTCAAAACGCCTTTCTTCGACTAAATTTAAGGCATTTTTGACTCCAACTCTCAACCCAAGTGTGCTAATTACATTTCATTTGTCCCCATAGTTCCTATTTGTCATGACGCAGCTGCTTGTGACATCCATAGAGTGGTTTGGGAACTGTTTTGTATTTTCGCCCCCCGAACAACCTTTTTTCGACTAAGTTTAAGGCGTTTTTTTACTCCGACTCCCAACCTATGTGAAACCTAAGTTCAAGACATTTTTCAATTAACTTAAATGAATGCATGTGAAACCCAATCTTGTTGTGCTAATGTACTCTGTGTGAAACCCAACCATTTTGGTACTATGTTCAACTGTTTCATAATTGATAAACTAATTGTGAGTATTCCTAATCAATTCAAGGAAAGTGAATATTTCATAGAAAACATGTGCTTACCTTTTCCACGTCAGAATGAAGTCCTTTAGAGTATCCGAACAACAGGTCCTCTGCTGCTAAGTCTTCTAATATTACGCATCAAAACCTATTCAAACAATAAGTTCATAAAATTAATAAACATTGGCAGACACCAATAGCCCAACAATGTGATAGACAAGTTAACTAATCAAAAAGTAAATGGCAGTACTACAAGAATATCATAACAAAAAATTTAAATAACGTCAAAACACAAATGCCAAAGTCAATTCCATTGATTTTTAAAAAATCACTGAATGTCAATAATCTGGAACAGTTAACCACACACCAACGAACTGAGAGAGTAGGAGGTCAAGGGTACTCAATTAAGTCTTATCATGTTCAACACAGCACAACAAATTTTTTTGTTTTTTCTTTTTTTGGTTCTCTTTTTAACATTTCCATCAGTCCCTTACTAATCAAATGGACCCTTACTTGTAAGTATGAACTAATAATTTTCTATATGACAGTCATAGGTCCATTCAACTAAAACAATTCAGTTGGTTTGATGCAACAATTTTAATCTAACAAACTCAAACAAGTTAGTCAAAACAAATTGATGTGTAACAAGAGTGAAACGAAATTGTTACTAGACAAAGAAACATCATATACGAAATGATGAAACTTCATTTTTGACACATTTTTAGGACTCTCATGCTTAACAAACACTAAATTTTTATTTTTCTCTTTTTAACATTTCATTGAACCTATAACTTTCCATACGAAAGTCATACGTCCATCCAACAAAGACAATTCAGTTGGTTTCATGCAACTATTTAATAGTTTTTCAAGTTGCTATGACCTAACAAACACAAACAAGAAACTAGTCAAAACAAATAGATGTGTAACAGCCATAACTAAATACCTACTACTTAAATGGAAATTGAATATTTTCTGTCAAATAACAACTCAATGGACAATGACATGTCTACTACTTTTAATAACTTTTTATGAAATGCAGGTATTATGGGAAAAAAGACATTTTCATGGCATAATTTTAAGTACTTTTAAGCTCTTGTATATTTTGATTGATGAGATTAAAAAGGTATAAATATAATCAACCCGAACCACTCCAAACCATGTCCAACTCACATTATATTTGAGCGTAAAAAATTTGCTCAATCCAATCTCATAAGACAAAGTATAATCTCAAGTTTTATAAATGATGGACGAGTTCAATGCTACTTACCGAGTCGTCAAGTTTCTATTCACCCTAGGATTGGAGATAACTTTGTCGTCTACAGCTAGGTGTGAGATCGGTCCACATTCCAGTGGAAATGCTATCAGGATGAAATACAATTCATTCATCAGTATTTATTTAGTCATGATCGCATAAAAGATCAGTTATAGAAAAAATAAGTAGTTCACCATGAGTGAAGTATATTAATCTTAAGCCAATCTCTGTCTGTGATTCTTTCTTTTTGAACTACTACTACTCTTTGTTTCTTTCAATTCGTGGCTTCTTTATTGGTCTCCTATTTACAATCAGGTCATGTAATTTGCCTATTTATGTTCGTAATCCATCTGGGTTTTCCACATTTGCTCCAGTTTTCTCGCCATCTTGACTGAAAGTGGATAATACATTATGTACAAGTTAATTTCTGTTACTAAATAGTTTAGTATTAGAATACCCCCAGTCATGTCCCAAATTCAAGCTCGTGAGCTTGAATTTGGGATTTCTGTCTAGAAATCAACACAAACCCTATAGCAAGTGTGGGAAATCAAAACAAAATGAACACAAAATTTTGGATTTAGAGTTAAGAAATCAACACACAATTAAACAACAAAAATCATATAAAACCCTAGAGCAAGTGTAAGAAATAGGAAAATAGATGAAGGGGGGAGAGAGATGGATAGAGAGGGAGAGAGAGCGAGATCGACAGAGAGGGATAGAGACTGAGAGTGACGGAGATGGAGAAACACCGAGAGCGACAGAGCGAGAGAAAAATACTTGTGATTAAGTGGCGGTGGTGATGTGCAGGTGGCCAACGACGGTGATGAGCATCGGTAGTGAGCAGGGGTTAGGTTTGGTAGTGTGAACAGAGAGCGAAAAGTGTTTGAGACAGAACAGTCCAACTCGTGTGTGTGTGTGTGTGTGTGTGAGAGAGACAGAACAGACAATGCATATCGGGCACCAAAATTAATTGGTTTCCCTCTATAAAAAAAATTCAACCTTTAGCGACTGAATTGTTTTTTTGTTGCCAAATTCTAATGAATAACGACTAACTGTTTTGCAGCCAAAGATTAAGTAATAGCGACTGATATATTGGTATCCAAAAGTATTATTTGGCTACTATTTTTTTTTTCGTCGGCAAAAATTGAATATACGGAAACTAAATGGTTTAGTCACCAAAAGGTGTAAAAAAATGTCCATAATAGTTGGTAACTAAACTATCTTTTGTCGGCAAATAACCGTATTCAGCGACTAAACCTAGAATTAGTAGCGTAAAATATAAACTTTTGGCGACTAATTTTCTTTTAGTGGCCTATTACTATATATTTACTGACTAAATATTTTTTAGTTGCCAAAAGACATATTTTTGGCGGCTAAATTTGTTTTGGTCACCAATTTTGATCGCCAAATGTGTAGTTTGTTATAGTGTTTTGACTTCTATTTTTAACTTACAAGAAGTTACATCAAACAAGTCCAAAATCCAAGATAACCGACCACAACTCAATTTGGCTAAAGTTTTTTTTACCATCCGTAACAAGTGGCTATTTCATGTTAATAGAGCAAGACGAGATCATCTCTAGTGGATTGTGATTGGTGAAGATGGTTGAACTCATGATTTTATGTTGAGATTAGGAAAGACAGGCATAGGAGACCTTAAGTGAGTGACTTGAATCACATGATGGGCAGCTCTCACTAGGGTATACCAAAAAAAAATCTCTAAAAAATTCATTAAATACAAAAAAGTATAAAAAATTATTATTATTATTATTTTGTATTTATTAAATTTTTAAAGATTTATATACAAATATTTTATTTTTTAAATATATTTAAATTAGAACATTTTTTTAAAAAAAGGATATTTACCAATAAATTACATCTCACAAAGAAGTACTCCAATTAGTCCCAAATTTTTTCTATTGATCTATTAAGTCCTATTAGTGAAGAATTTCTTTTCGTGTGGTCCTATTTTTGATTTTGGTAGTGTTTTGGTGGACAACTATACCTTTTTATTAATGTGACAGCTATGATGTGATACTCTAATGTGGCAAGTATTAATGTGACATTCTAACGATGTGACACTTCAAAAAAATTAAAAACTCCTTAGTGTACTTTTCCTAAATGTAACAATGTGACAGGTATGATGTGACACTCCAAAACTTTTAATCCAAAAATAAAAACTTCTTAGTGTACTTTTATCAAATGTAACAACATGGCGGATATGATATGACACTCTAAAAAAAATTCAAAACTTTTTAGTGTACTTTTTTTAAATGTGACAACGTAGCGGTTATGATGTAACATTTCAAAAAAATAAAAACGCTTGACAACGTGGCGGGTATAATGTGACATTCTAAAAAAAATTAAAAACTCCTTAATGTACTTTTTTCCCAAACGCAACAACATGGTGCGTGTGATGTGACACTTTAAAAAAAATTTAAAACTTCTTAGTGTACTTTTCCCAAACATGACATGTGACACTCTAACGCGACGAGTATAATGTGACACTCTAAAAAATTTCTTGGCGTACTTTTCTCAAATGTGACAACGTGGCGGGTATGATGTAATATTTCAAAAAAAAATAAAAATTTCTTAATATACTTTTCTCAAACGTGACAACATGGCGGGTATAATGTGACACTCTAAAAAGAATTAAAAACTCCTTGTGTACTATTTCCAAATGTGATAACGTGACGGGTATGATATGACAGCGTGGCGAGTATTATGTGACACTCTAAAAAATATTAAAAACTCCTTAATATTTTTTTTTCAAATGTGACAATATGGGGGGTATGATGTGACACTCTAAAAAAATTAAAAACTTCTTAGCATACTTTTTTCAAACGTGACATGTGACACTTCAACGTGACGAGTATGATGTGACACTCTAAAAAAGTTGAAAACCTTTAATGTACATTTTACAAATGTGGCACTCTAACGTGGTAGGTTTAATGTAACACTAAAAGACTCTTTAGTGTACTTTTTTTTTTCAAATGTGACACTCCAATGCGGCGGGTAAGTGACTCATTACACATCCAAAAGGACTAAATGGATTACAAAAAAAAATATGAGACTATATGAATTATCAATAAATCATTGAAATGGATTCAAATGTGGATTGTATCTTGTATCTTGCTAATTTGTTGGAGTTTGGGTGTTTGATTGGCTTCTCGCCAATCATGGGTCAAGTGCATAGTGCACTCCCCTGATTTGTTGATGTATTGTGGATTGTATCTTGCTTAATCATCAATAAATCCTTATTTTGCCGATCAAAAAAATGAACAGAGAGTGAAAAGTGTTTGAGACAGAATAGTCCAACTCGTGTGTGTGTGTGTAAGAGAAGCAGAACAAACAGTGCATATCGGGCACCAAAATTAATTGGTTTCCCTCTATAAAAGAAATTCAACCTTTAGCGACTAAATTGTTTTTTTGTTGCCAAAGATTATAATAGCAACTAATATATTGGTAGCCAAAAGTATTATTTGGCTACTATTTTTTTTTTTTTCGTCCGCAAAAATTGAATATACGGAAACTAAATGGTTTAGTCACCAAATGGTGTAAAAAAATGTCCATAATATTTGGCAACTAAACTATCTTTTGTTGGTAAATAACCGTATTCAGCAACTAATCCTAGAATTAGTAGTGTAAAATATAAACTTTTGGCGACTAATTTTCTTTTAGTGGCCTATTACTATATATTTATTAACTAAATCTTTTTTAGTCGCTAAAAGTCATATTTTTGGCGGCTAAATTTGTTTTGGTCACCAATTTTGATCGCCAAATGTGTAGTTTGTTATAGTGTTTTGACTTCTATTTTTAACTTACAAGAAGTTACATCAAACAAGTCCAAAATCCAAGATAACCGACCACAACTCAATTTGGCTAAAGTTTTTTTTACCATCCGTAACAAGTGGCTATTTCATGTTAATAGAGCAAGACGAGATCATCTCTAGTGGATTGTGATTGGTGAAGATGGTTGAACTCATGATTTTATGTTGAGATTAGGAAAGACAGGCATAGGAGACCTTAAGTGAGTGACTTGAATCACATGATGGGCAGCTCTCACTAGGGTATACCAAAAAAAAATCTCTAAAAAATTCATTAAATACAAAAAAGTAAAAAAAAAATATTATTATTGTTATTTTGTATTTATTAAATTTGTAAAGATTTATATACAAGTATTTTATTTTTTAAATATATTTAAATTAGATACATTTAAAAAAAAAAAAAGGATATTTACCAATAAATTACATCTCACAAAGAAGTACTCTAATTAGTCCCAAATTTTTTCTATTGATCTGTTAAGTCCTATTAGTGGAGAATTTCTTTCCATGTGGTCTTATTTTTTATTTTGGTAGTGTTTTAGTGGACAACTATACATTTTTATTAATGTGACAGCTATGATGTGATACTCCAATGTAGTAAGTATTAATGTGACACTCTAACGATGTGACACTTTAGAAAAATTAAAAACTCCTTAGTGCACTTTTTCTAAATGTAACAATGTGACAGGTATGATGTGACACTTCAAAACTTTTAATCCAAAAATAAAAACTTCTTAGTGTACTTTTCTCAAATATAACAACATGGCGGGTATGATATGACACTCTAAAAAAAATTCAAAACTTTTCAGTGTACTTTTTCTAAATGTGACAACGTGACGGGTATGATGTAACATTTCAAAAAAATAAAAAAATAAAAACGCTTGACAATGTGGCGGGTATAATGTAATATTCTAAAAAAAATTAAAAACTCCTTAATGTACCTTTTTCCCAAACGCAACAACGTGGTGCGTGTGATGTGACAATTTAAAAAAAAAATTTTAAACTTCTTAGTGTAGTTTTCCCAAACGTGACATGTGACACTCTAACGCAGTGAGTATGATGTGACACTCTAAAAAATTTCTTGGCGTACTTTTCTCAAATGTAACAACGTGACGGATATGATGTGACACTGTAAAAAAAATTAAAAACTCCTTAATGTACTTTTTTCAAATGTGACAACGTGGCAGGTATGATACAACATTTCAAAAAAAAAATAAAAATTCCTTAATGTACTTTTCTCAAACGTGACAACATGGCGGGTATGATGTGACACTCTAAAAAGAATTAAAAACTCCTCGTGTACTATTTCCAAATGTGATAACATGACGGGTATGATATGATAACATGGCGAGTATGATGTGACACTCTAAAAAAAATTAAAAACTCCTTAATGTTTTTTTTTTCAAACGTGACAATATGGCGGGTATGATGTGACACTCTAAAAAAATTAAAAATTTCTTAGCATACTTTTTCCAAACGTGACATGTGACACTCCAACGTGACGAGTATGATGTGACATTTTAAAAAAATTGAAAACCTTTAATGTACATTTTACAAATGTGACACTCTAACGTGGTGGGTTTAATGTAACACTAAAAGACTCTTTAGTGTACTTTTTTTTTTCAAATGTGACACTCCAATGCGGCGGGTAAGTGACTCATTACACATCCAAAAGGATTAAATGGATTACAAGAAAAAAATATGGGACTATATGAATTACAAGTTCAAAATATGGGACTTATTGGTCAATCTCTCTAAAAAAAAATTGACTAAAATATTAAAAAGTTGAAAACTCAAAACCAAATATGTTGAAATATAATTCAAAAGGACATACTTCATATTCATACTCCATAGGGCCTATCTCGTAAGCATACTGACTTCATAAACCGACGGTATCTGTAGGAGAATTTTCAACTTTCAGAGAGCACCAACACAAAAAAGAATACAGTTTTATTACGAACACAGAAATCAAACACCAAAACAAATATTAAATATATATAAATGAGCAAAATTTTATAGAATTTATTGAAGAGACACACTCCTATAATTTTATTGGTCCATATGTATTATGTATTTAATTCTATAATTGATTTTT